GTCGCCTCCTCCCACCCCCACCACCACCACCAAGTACCGAATTTTTCGCACATCGCCTCCTGAACTTTATCCATAAATTCATTGATTTTTGGTTGCAATTGAGGTTGACCCATGGGTGGGTTGGGTGCGTTAAAGGGAGAGGAAGGCTGCCTAGGTAGTCTGCGACCATGGGTTGGCCAGACAGATTTGGAATCTCCATGGTGGTCCCTAGAAATTAATGAATTACTTAGGGGAGGAAGCTAAAGCATAGATTGGTAGATTTAGCGGATGCTGATGTAGGATCACCCGCATGTCGTTCACCAGTTGACTGTTGGTACAATGTGCCAGAAATCAATAATCATTATGTTCCTTCACGTCTCAATAAATATCTTAATCTGAGCTGACCTCGAATATCCTAAACTGACTATTATACTGTAGATATTGACCTAGGAGTTCGGATGCCAACAATTTATGTGTTTTGTTGGAATTTCATTGTAAACAGTGTGTGCATGTTCTTTACGTAGGTCTTGAACTGATTCATGTACTAATCCTTGTTCTCATTATCATCCAGCCAAATATACAAACTACTTCACAATGGCTATATACACTGGTGGTTAGAATTTTACTTTATGATGCAGAAAGGTAAATTGGATATTGTTTTGAGGAGGTTGTGCAATGAATCTGATGTGATTGAGATGTTGATATGATCGAGGAGTCGAGCCCGACGAAAACAAGCCCGAAACGGGACCGCTAATTATCGAAAGAGGCCCGATGACATGTTCGAGGGAAAAGCAAGTGAAAGAGGTAATGGGATTGTTTGCTCAAACTATGGTGGATGAAGTTTCAAAGTTAACAAGTCAAAGAACAAGTTTCATGTTGGGTTCGGAAGAAGAAACCAAATGAATCAACTTGATTCAAGCAGCAAACGAGCAGTATGGATGAAAACGAGCATAACTTTCAGCTTGGTTGTCGAATTTTCACTCATGAGTACATTCCAGAAATGGCACGAAATTGTACACAATGTTGCGCAGGTGCGTGGTACTTTTGGGTTTGTGATTGCACAGAAACATGCCGAGAACAATTTGGCGAGAACTTTAATTTTTTCGCGAATTTTCTTGTTAGACTAAAATTCTATTTTCTTTCCAATTTTACAATATTTTGTAACCTAATTACGTTTTTACTAGGTTTTCTGGCCATTAGTATAAATAGGATTTCATTATTCAATGTATGAACTTTTTCACAAATTTACTATTGAGATATATTCAAGAGGCTATNGACAAATTTATTATTGAGATATATTCGAGAGGTTATTGTGCTTTTCAAATCTTGTTCTTCTTAGAACATTCTAAACTTATCAAGAGAATTCTTGTGATGTTCAATACCGAGTGCGGATCACATAGTGTGTAATCAATAGGTCTTTCAAACTTTGTTTTTATTTGGTTGTTTGGTTCACTAATTCTTGGTTCAAACTTAAAATCGGGATTATTCTTTGTTCTTTCTTGGGATCTTCAATCTCATTGTGGGTTGCGTAGTGTTTATTACTACGTAGTTCTCATCAGATATTGAAAGACCTTAAAGGACATAGGTTGCTTGAAATTTATGTAGTTGTGCCTAGCCAGATAGCAACTTTAGCTCAAGAAACATACCAAGAACCAGTGTTTGAGGTCCCAAAGAGTAATGCCCGTAATGAAGGGGGTGAAAGTACCACAGAAGGTTGCTACATCCCAATGTTTGATGTGCGTGAAAGTGGTTTGGGTGAGGTGAATATTGGTGACTGTTTGACTGAAATTGTAGAGGAGACGTGGTTGCAATTTGAAGAAACACTCATGTACAAAGTTGGAGTTGGTACTTCTCATCTGAATCAGCATGAAGAGAACCCGAAGATGGTTAAGGAAGTCCTAGACGATAGAATGGAAAATGACACTGAAGGCTTTGTGGAAAGTGATTACGAGGTTGAGGATGAACCTGAGGCAGGCGACAAAATTGAGGAGCAAGCTAATTTTGGTTTTGATTTTGGTTTTGGATTGTACGATAGGTAAGAAGTTAGAGACTCGGACACTGACTACGGGGAGTCAGATGAGTTACGTAGTTTGGATAGTGAAGAAAGTAAAGGAACAACATCCAGATAGAGGGGACGAATGGATGAATTCAATCCATTGACTGACATGGAGCAACCAATTTTTTGAAAATGTTATCAAAATCGCCCCTTATACTCTAATAATTTGTCGGTAATACCCTTATGTGTTCAATACGCTTTGATATACCCCCCATATAAAATGGTTATGTTGTAAAACCCCCTTTAAGAAATATGGTTTTTGTTTTACGTCCCTCACTTTTTTATTTTGCGCGCTACATGTATGGTGTTCTAGATGAAAGCAGTTTTGAAATGGGCATTAACTGAGCATTCTATAACATCATATCCGGAGATAAAGTACGTTAAGGACAAAAGGTATAGATTGCGAACAGTATGCAAGGAGAAGTCACGTGGATAACTGTTGCACGCAAGTAAGGTGAAAGATGAAATCAGTTTTAAGATGAAGAATTACAATGGTGATCACAGTTGTGCATTGGTATACAGGAATAGGCTAACTCCAAAATACTTAGCCCATAGGTACTTGTTTTCATAGAAGGCTAATCTCAATATGTTTGTAAACGCATTTTTTGATAAAGTTAAAAGGGACAATTTGGGAGACGTGACTAGGTGGCAGCATTACTGAACCAAAGGCAATGAAGAGTTACGCGGCACTGTGGTTGATTGCTACAAAATTTTGTGGGATTATTGCGAACATCTTAAACAGACAAATGCTGGTGCAACTACACAGTTGGAGGGTCGTAGCGGGGAGTTTAAAATCTTTTACATATGTCTGGGGGCACTGAATGTGGGATTCATAAGTAGATGCAGGAAGGTGACAGGTTGGACGGTTGTTTTTTGAAAACTGATTTGGGGGGCCAGTTATTGACAGCAGTAGGTGTAGATAGTAATAATGGGGTTTATCCTATAGGACATGCCGTAGTGGAGGTTGAGAACAATTGTTATTATTGATTAGTGATATTTGGGGTGTCGATGTACAGCTTTTGGTACGTGAATGTCCTGCTTTTGGTGTGGGTAATATTGAATTGGGATTGGGGATTATAGGGTTGTAATTCGCAGTCTTCATTAATCTAGAGTTAATTTCATGCAAAAGCACATAGAAAATAGAGTTTAGATGTCTCAGGTTTAGAATAATATAGGGTTGTATATCATATTGTTATACGTTTTCAGGGTTGTATTGTGAAACCTATTCAATGTGTAGGGGGTAATCGCAACCAATTCAGATAACAAGATGTGTGCATGTGAACACGAAATAGAGGATGAAATTGGAACATCACATTAAACATCTAACTTACAGAATTTGAACATGAAAGCACGATATTCGCTAACATCCATTCAACACAACATCTACAAGGCGATCGAAGTTTTATTTTTCGCAAAAATCCACATCACTACACACCCACCCAAAAACTAAATCTAAAATCATTGCTCTGCCTCTGCAGTTCCAACATTGTTGATCAAGTGCATTCCCGGATCTCAATAGCTCAGGTATGATCTCCACAGATCTACTCCATGTGTGTGTCAAACCACGAGAAGTACTCGCAACCTCCAATTTGCTGTAGAAAACTAAAAAATATCATAGATTGAGCACACTTAGTAAAAAATTGGTTCAAAAATTGTGTTCGAATTTTCATTACCAACTGTCGTGTGCATGTGAAAAACCTTCTTTCCGGGTTCGTTGCCTTCCACGAAGTCTTCAAATTAATCTTCATTCCGCATCTGCACAAATGGGATTTCATCAAAACTAAGGGTTCAGTGTTGCAGCTACGTACGCTAAAAACAAGGTGGTGTCAAGTAAAATGAGGGACATAAAACCCCACTCTCTTCATGTTGGGAGGGTATTATTAAAGACGAAAATATAAATTGACGATTTGCTATTTCTTATTTATCCATTTTTCCCTTTTTCTCTGGGATTTAATGACACACCAGACGGATGCTGAAGGCATGAGTGTTTTTTCACAAAACATTTAAAACAGTGAAGTTTTCTGCGATTTTCAATAGATATGGAGTATATAGCAAATTGAAACGTTTACGTGGGTATTCTGCTATTAATTCTAGAAAATACTACGTACGTTTTGTAGTCAACATATGAAAAATAACTCGTGATTCTAGCCAGTAAAGAACTGTGATGAAAGAGAGCTCATATCATTGCTCATAGATTACGATGTTCTCACAAAATTTTTTGATCTCATCACGATCGATTATAAATTCAATTACTTCCTATTAACGGGTGTAGAACTTTCACGCAGCAATATACAAGTAAACGAATCAATTATGACGATATAGGCTAAGTAAAATATATCGAATATAGTTGAATTTTCTCGTTAACAATAAATACCATAACCTTAAAGATAATCTTATATTATCTCTTCGATTCTATACGCCATAAACTTATTTAAATGAGTGCTCAACACGTTTTTATCTATAGTCTAACATGTATTTCATGAAACTTTCGCAATAAAAATCGATATCAAGATCATTACTTCAATATCAATTTAATATATTTTATAAAATGTTTTGAGTTGTTGAAGAAATAATACGTTAAATTAGTATTCATCAATTACTACAAGATTCGAAACTCGTGATCACTCCTTTGGGTTATCTTGCACTCGAAAGTCGAAGTAGAAAAAGATTAGGCAGAACTCAAAATACAATTGGCAGATTTCACTACTTTCTATTAATTTTGTCCAATTTTAGTAAAAAATACCACTTAAAAAGGAGAGAAAAATACTCGAAAAAGAAATACTTGAGAAAGTTAGATCATTACATGCAAACCTCTCAAAACCTTTGCTCATACATCAACCACAATCACCCAATAAAACCAAACTACAAATTTACATAAAAAAGCATCCATTCATATAAATACTTTTTCCCACTCAAAATGGAATATTGTATATTATCTTGAGAGTTAATTAAACTAAAAGTGAGATTAAGGAAGATAATTAAGAGATTGATCATCATAATTATTAGCCCACTGAGCTTCACTCCAGTACGCTTGATCGATAGAAGCCGTAAGATCAAAGAGCCCTTGATCTCCGCCACCCAGCGCTGCCGCATGGCTACCGCTGCCGCTGCTCATCCTGTTCTGCTCTAATCCTGTGAATTCAATCTGATGACCCAAATACCCACCCGTCATTTCCTGAGTCTTGAACACATCAACTGAGGCCGGCGCCAACATTTCCGAGCCGGGATTGATCTGGGGGGTCTGTTGGAGCTGGCCGTACGACGGCGGAATGTCGGTCACGTTGAACCCTAGGATATTAGACGGGTCTTCTGAAGATGTCGTTAGACTTGTGAAATTCTCCATCTCCGGGAAGATCTGGCCGGCCGTTGATTGGTTCACCGAGGGATGATGGTGAAACCTAGGGTTTGTGTTTGTATCTTGAGGATTCACGTTAAAGTACCTCGTATCAGTAAAATTGTACACTGTATTCGTAGCGGAGTTCGATAACCCACTCGGCGGCGACGAACCCACTTCAGCGCTAGCGCCGAAGGCACCGATGCCGGTGACTGCAGAAGTAGGAGTGGCCTCTGTCGTGGCGGCGGTGAGGCTGGAACTCTCACTACTCGAATGAGAATTCGATTTCCTTTCACTGGGACCATCGGCGGCTGAATTAGAATTAATTTTAGACTTCGACCGCTTTGCTTTCCGGCAGCCACCACCAACTGGGACGTTGCGGAGGACGCCGCCTTTAGTCCAGTACCTGCGGCAGCTCTTGCAGAAGTGGCGCGGTTGAGAAAGGTTGTAATTATTGTAGTAACAGAACTTGGTGTTCGACGAATCACACCGTGGACACTTCAAAACTTGGTTCGGGTGGTGTTGCTGCCTCGGCCTCCTGTCCCCAGCACCTCCAAAAAACCTTCCACCGCCTCCTACACCGCCACCTCCACCTCCTATCGCAAGCATATCTTGCATTATCTCCGCTAACCCTTAAATATCCAAGATTAAGAAAGAATATACAATTTTTCTGCCCAGTTTTCCGGCAACAGCAGCTCCAATTTGCCGACAATGAAAGTTCTGTTTAAGACTTTCTCTGACAAAATATCCCCAACAAAATCTTCCGAACCCAGTATTCCTACATCTCAATATTCTACGAGTAAAAATAGAAGGAAAAATTGCGACACTGGTCCTAATTCATAGTTCTATACTGTCAAGTTAATCTCAAAGCTTCAAACTTTAGCAAATTGGTCCTCATAACTTTATTATAGATTCACAATCAATCATCAATGATGAGACCGTCCATATTTATAACAAAGTTTGCATGTGTAATTTAATGAAGTTAGGTTTTGTCACATGTCATTGAGTTAGTATCTACAAATTTGAAGTGAATCATTGTTAGTAGAGTTAAAGTTGAACAAAAACAATGTCAAATCGTAAATCGAATCGACTTCATTATTTGTGTTCACGTAGATCCATCCAAATTACGATTGATACTTGAAATCATTTAGTGGGTGTTTGGTGAGGATTAAAATAAAATTTTTATTAAATTGTAATAGAAGTTTTTAAAATAAGGTGTTGAAAAGTTGTGGGACAAATGAAATATATGATTAATATTGATTGTTTGACTTTAAATGAAATTAAAATCTGATTTTAATCCGTACCAAACAGGACCTTGAAACGAAACCAGATCGTTCATATAATTTAAAAAATTCTACCAACTAAATATAAAATTATCAAATTCACAAAAATAATCTTATTTATTAGGAGTATGTTTGGTAGAGATTTTTGGGGGAATAGTTTATTTTTGCATAGTAATATGATGGGAAATGTGTGGTTGAAAAAGAAGAAAAAATTATTAATGTGATGAAAAATATTATTTTATTGAAGAATGTGTGGTTAAAAAGAGAATTGATTAAAAATCTNAACCTATTGAGCAATCCTACTGTCTATATTTTAACTTGTTTGAAATGCGCTAAATTGCGTCGGTTTGGAACTTTTTTTCAACTTGTTTTAAATTATGTAGTTTGAAAATATGCCAAACAACGAAGAAATGATTCGATTGTCTTTTCAAAGCTTGTGGTCCAAACTGCTAACAAGACAGTAAATAGAGTGTAATGTTCTTAAACGAGTTAAATGGCGAAACTACCCCTAAAATGGTGAATGATTGTTCCAGTCACGTGAAATAGTTAATTACCAAAATGTCCTGGTATTTCCCTGCTGTCTCATAGAATGGTATGTCTGAGTTGGTAAATTAGCTTGAGCAGCGACGAGCCTAGTGATCCATGGTATTGTAGTGATCTGTTGAAAATGACACGTGTACGGTTGGGAAAGAGGACTTTTACTGACCACAAATCTGGACTTTGTCGGCAAATATTTTATCATCTTGTTATCGTGGTGTTGCTCACATTTTGCCCATTTTCAACCCTTGATCCTCAGGATGCAAAAGAATAGCACTTTGGGCGTGCTTTAACCCATTTTTAAACATGTTTTATAATAATAATTTTTCAAAGAATGTGTCGATAAAAAATAAAGAAAAATTCATTATTTTATTGAAAAAATGTATAATTGAAATGAATTTTTATATAATGAGAGTCAAACAAGGGCATTTTGTCCTCCGCCAAACATAGGTCGTATCAATCTGCAAAGGAACAACACTATTTACCCCTCGAGCAGCAAAGGAATAACACCATTTGTCATCAAGATGAAAGTTTTAGTCATCTCTTCCTCTCGATTAAGTTGTCGAACGAAAGAATAACATTATTTATGTTTTCAAATTTTATTTTAGAATTTCGTTTCCTAGCTTTATTTAACGCGTACTTGTTTTAAGGAAAATCAAATCCAAAGTCAAAGTGATAATTTAAGCTAATTTTAAAAATGTATCCTTATTGCTCTTGATAAGAAATTAATAAATAAGTTTTAAGGTCGAGTTTTAAACCGAGGACATTCTGCTCCTATTTACGAAAATAAGGTACTGGTGTCATTCTTACAATCAAAATGAATTAGTAGAATTTTGAGTCGTCACACCAACTATTTAGGAAGAGACATCAAGCAACGAGAATGTAGCTATATACTTCTTAATACGATTTATTTTACATGTATATCAGAGTTTACATTGTAGTGTACATAATACCTAAGTGACATTTTATCATTGGCCGATGACAGGGGCGGATTTACAGTGGGGTCACCTGCCCCACAATAAATCTTAAAATTCAAGATGTATTTGAGCCACATTATTTTGGAAGAATGTATTTTGGAATAGTAGATTTATGAAAAATTTGTGGTTCAAAAAGAATGAAAAGTTATTAATGTGATGGAAAATATTATTTTATTGAAAAATGTGTTATTGAAAATGAGTAGAAGAATGAGAATGAAAATTTTAATGTGTACCAAACAGGAGCTCAATATTTTGCCCAATTTTTGTTTTCTATATTTTCAAAAAAGTTCATGCAGTTTTCAATTTTTGCCCAAACAATTAAAATTTGGTTTAACTTACCCGCACAAATCTCATTTTCTAGCTCCGTCCCTTTCTGGTGAAAAAGCAATAGCAAAACCCTCTTAATATTCATTGATATTGGGAAATTCATTGTTTGAGCTCCATTAATTTAAGAACTCATTTTTTTTAAAAATCGTTTCAACCACACATTCTCCCTCTTTTTCTTTTTCTTTTTTATTTCTATTTTCTAGTCACACATTCTTAAAAAATCAATTACAAAATCTATTTTAAAAATAAAAAATGAGGCTCAAACAAACCCTTAGCTAAACAACGAATCTACGAGTGGGAGACGGTGACCTCTTTTGTTGTGTAGCGTAATAGGAGCGGAGGAAACATTTTTAAATATGTGACTACTGTATTTTTGTCACATATGATTGTGTCTAATATGACGTGTTGGTGTTGATGTTGGTGTAGTGTTTTTATATGTTTTGGTAGTTAGGGTCGTAAATGAAGTTTTGGGGACGCGGTGAACTGAGAAATTGGACCCCAAATCATAGTATGCATTCAAATATTTTTATTCATAAGAATTTTACAAAACTAAATCTGTTATCTTAAAACTCAACAATAAAACGGCAAATAAAATGTAAGATTCCAAACATTTGTATTATTAATCAATTTTTTTGGTTATATTTCGTCAGGATTTGATAGAATCGAGCAATATTCATAAATTCATATATATTTATTTTCTGTGAAAATTAGACAGAATATTTTATACAATTTATTTGTTGGAATATATCGAACAATGAACTAATGGCTTTAGTAAATTTTGTTATTGATAAGAGATGTCACGATAAATGTAATCGAGTTTATGAGACACTTGAGGTAGAGGTGGTAATCGAGCCGAGCGGCTCCTCGAAAAACGAGCCACGAGCCTGACGAGCCTGAGTCCGAGCTGGCCGGCTTGCTAGGCGAGCCGCTCGGCTCATTTTTTTACGAGCGGCTCGTGGTTTTTTTTAAAGGTTTAGAACAAATATAGTTATTTAAAAAAAAAAATTAAAAATCCGAGGCTCGGCTCGGCTCGGCCCTGCCCACGAGCTCAACCCCACGTATATGGCCGGCTCGGCCCATTGCCACCACTAACTTGAGGTCATCGGAGAAATTATTTAATTTTGCATTATTCAACATGCAACAATCTTATATCAATTTATTAATTTTTTAAAATCAAAATGTTCAAAAAAGAGTATCTAATTAAATAAATTTCAATTAATTATTAAGTGAATAACATTGTTCAAACCTCATTTGATGTATAATTTAATTGTGTTAGTTTCTTTGGATTCTTATTCAAGGTATATCATCAATAATTGTTGAAAATTAAAGCAAAGTTTAGGTATTGGGGCGAAACTTTCGAAATCCTAATATATCCACCAATAAATTCCTCTTTTAAGCAAAAATAGCAATCGAGCCTCACGTTGCACGTCGTTTGGTGTTGAATTCAACGTCCAAGTTGGATAGAATTTGCCATGAAAAGATGAGGATGCATTGTTCCCGGACAAAAGGCGATTTTACGTCATAAGTGAAAACTATGTCCAAACTCGAACCTTTTTGCATACACAAAAATAAAAGCATCGACACTAATCTATAAAAACATTTATTATAATCTTGAGGGGTTGCTCAATTGGTCAGACCTTGGGTTTACTTCTTAGTAGTCACCAGTTCAAGTCCTCTCAGGGCCATTGAGATGAATACTCGACCGTAAACTTTAAGTTCTCGTAAGATTAGTCGAGGTACGCGCAAACTGGCCCGAACATCCACGGTTATAAAAAAAAAAACATTTATTATTATTTTAGAATCAAGACATATATGTCTACAACAATATATTTGGGACCACCCGATATTACCGAGCCCAAGATTGACACCTCTTTGGCCTCACCTCAGGTCCGACAAGTTGGTTGGTTTGTTGTTTCATAAGAATTTTACAAAACTAAATTTGTTATCTTAAAACTCAACAATAAAACGGCAAATAAAATGTAAGATTCCAAACATTTGTATTATTAATCAATTTTTTTGGTTATATTTCGTCAATTGGATTTGATAGAATCGAGCAATATTCATAAATTCATATATATTTTATTTTCTGTGAAAATTAGACAGAATATTTTATACAATTTATTTGTTAGAATATATCGAACAATGAACTAATGGCTTTAGTAAATTTTGTTATTGATAAGAGATATCACGATAAATGTAATCGAGTTTACGAGACACTTGAGGTAGAGGTGGCAATCGAGTCGAGCGGCTCCCCGAAAAACGAGCCACGAGCCTGACGAGCCTGAGTCCGAGCTGGCCGGCTTGCTAGGCGAGCGGCTCGGCTCGTTTTTTTACGAGCGGCTCGTGGTTTTTTTTAAAGGTTTAGAACAAATATAGTTATTTAAAAAAAAAAAAATTAAAAATCCGAGGCTCGGCTCGGCTCGGCCCGGCCCGGCCCACGAGTTCAACCCCACGTATATGACCGGCTCGACCCATTGCCACCACTAACTTGAGG